TCAACAAGCACTGGTCAGCAAAAGACAGCATCATTTATCTTACTTTTGAATGGCCAAATAAATTACAGCCACTAATGGATTAGAAATAACTTACATAGGTTACGTCAACCTTTAAGTTGAGGCTATAGGTCTGACCCTTCCAGAAAGAGGATTTCTTGTAGTTAAAGATTCAGCACAGTCATCCTCTGTGCCTTGCAGTGTTGGGCATGTTACTTTGCAAAAGTAATTAGTTATAGTTACTAGTTAACTAACTGAGTTACTCCACCATAAAAGTAATTAGTTACTAGTGAAAGTAACTATTGCGCTACTTCTGCGTTTCTCGGCCCCGTAACCCTCACCAACCGGCCCCCAACTTCTCACCGTGTGTTTCAAAAGCCAGCTGAATAGAGCGGACGACAAAGACCAGTACCTGCAGAGTGTTTTGCATTTATTGCAACTCAACGTAAATGGCATCAGGGGGTAACGGTATCTGATGGGCTTCTAAACCCCGTCAGATAGCGTTCCCCTCTTCTTAACATGGGGGGAACGGTATCTGATGCAGTGTAAATATCATCAGTCTGCATTACTTCTACTCATGGGTGTGAAGTTTTTTTATCAGGGTGAAATTAATAACGGGGGATGTTCCATCCATCCATCCATCCATCCATCCATCCATCCATCCATCCATCCATCCATCCATCCTTCCATCCATCCATCCATCCATCCAGATTTCTCCCTTTCTCCATAAAATTTGATCCTAATCAAACAGAAGATCCTAAAATTTGATCCTTCATGCTCTCCGTAGTTGCCCTGTGGCGCAAGCACAGGGCGGCTGTTACGCACCTTTAGCGAGCATGCGCGTTTCCTGTCGCTTGCGCAGTGAATTGTGCCGCCTGAGGTGTGCAGAGATGCAGGGGAAACCGTATGTGATGGGGAAACGCAGCTTGACGTAACACTGGTATTTCCATCTGGAAAACGCTGTTTTGCTGCTGGAGTCATCCTCACTCTCCATCTCTCTGTCTGTGCTGTACGTTAACACCCGCCAGCAGAAACACCCACCTACCCAACTGACAGACATAGTAATCTCACTATCCATCAGCCAATCTCATACTCCCTTCTCATATGACAAGGCGCGCACAAGTCCTATCATGAAAAAAAGGTTAATTGTGTGACCTGAGTAACGTAAAGTTACCTATAACTGGAGGGAGAATTTTCATCTGGTGCAGACAGTTAGTTTATCAGACAGGCCCTTATTTGTCAGGATTGCTGGGGAAAATGCAGTTCATGTGCCAGCATCATCTGCAGCTGCTGGTATAGCAAGATGACTTAGAACTGTCAGTGTAAAAGTTCCTTTAATGCAACTGTATGATCTGGTTGAACTGTAAAGTGCCTTGAGATGACATGTGTTGTGAATTTGGCGCTATATAAATAAACTGAATTGAATTAAATTGAAATTGAACCTGGCCATTCCCCTTTACCTGGGGGTTTGGTGGTGGTGCCAACCTTGGTGACATCTAAGAGGCATGTTTTTCCAGTCCAGGTCATGAACCTGATGTGGATATCTATTTGCAACTCTAGAATTGTACTTTTGATAGTGGTTGACTCTGTAAATGGTGACCAATTGTTTAAATGTCTGTTTCAGAGAATTTTAGCAGATACAGATAAGCAGATAAGTCAGCATTAGCAGACAGACCAAACCACCAACAGATGTCCAGTCTATCCTCAATAAATTAAAGGTTAATGGAACTGCAGAGCAAGAAGCACAGCTAGCTCTGCTGCTGCAGACATACTCATTTGTGTTTGCAGTAGAAGATAAAGACTTAGGTTACACAGACAAAGTACAGCATGAGATACACCTCACAGATGACCAACCTGTAACACAGCCTTACCAACGGATGCTACCCACACAATACAATGAAGTGAGGGAACACTGTCATTGTCTTGGCACTGATGGTTGGAATTCTCATCTACTCCTGCTACCTGTCTAATTGGCCTGGCGGCTCATTACGCTCATCTTTTCCAACTGGTTCCTACTGCTACTTATGCTGCCTGTTTGCCTAAGGCTCCAGATTATTCGAGCTGTTTGGTGAGAGTAACTCTAGCAAGTATTTAGCTAAGTATTTGTTCTGTGATTCTGATTCTGACCTGTTTCTACCTTTTGATACCCGATTTCTGCCTTGCCCTTGTCTGCTCTGTCAGTTTGCTTGTTAATATCATTAGGTCCTCGATAATCTATGCAGGGTCTGAGTGACCCATCCTTCTTCGTCACAAAAAAGAACTATCTACCTGCGGGAGAGGAAGATAGGCAAATTATCCCCACCTTCAGAGAGTCAGAAATATACTTCTATATAGCCTGAGATTCAGGGGCCGATTAGGAGTATAGCCTCCCTCTAGGGGGCGTAGTCCCAGGCAGCAAGTAAATACCGCAATCAGTCATTGTAATCATCTGGAACTTTTAACAGGTCTGGATAATATTCCTCCCCTCCCTTCTCTGCTGACTGTTCTAATACATATCAAAACAGATGCCATGTCATGTTTGTACCACGATAACAGTACTGGTTTATTTCTTGAATGGTAATGGATCAATTTATTCCATCTAAGTAAAATCACCTGACAGCAGGTGAAAATTAAGTCTAAAAATGTGCAAGAGCAGTTGGTCCCCCCAACGTGCCATTGTGACACATTGTGACACATTGAACAATAAAACTTGAATGAATATGTTTTTTTGATCTGTGAGCCGCCGGCTAAATCTTGCTGGGAGATGATGCCTGTGATTGATTAGTCATACCTTCATAGGACTGAAGGGGGAGCCATCAGCCACGATGTCTCATTCCTGTTGCATTTGTCTGAATGGAAGCATCATGAGTGAGCTTCTTTTATACCTGTTAACCGTTTTCAGGTAATAGCTGAATATTCTTATTTGTTTACCCTTAAAAATGTTTGCTAGTTTTCCATCTAGCACCGATTAGCCTGTTGATGACGTAGCACTCAGACACCAGTGTTGATGCTTTGCAGAGTGTGCGTGTAAGTAGAACATCCATCTAATTAAAGAAGATGTTAAAAACTGCATGTGAGTCTGGTACAGTTGATAGTAAGAGCTAAGTCCACTGTGTTATTTGGGAAATTAGCACTTAGGGTTTTATATCTTCTTTTGAGATAAAAAATAAATAAAAATAAGAAACATCATCGAAATCTGAAAATACATACAAGGAACTGTTTTATACATATATATATATATATATATATATATATATATATATATATATATATATATATATATATATATATATATATATATATATATATATATATATATATATATATATATAAATAAAATTCTTTACTTAATTGCCACATTTGGTTTGACATAGAATTAAAGCTAAATTTAAGCTTTGGAAATACTGTTGAATTCCTGTTGCATTTGCCTTAATGGAAACATCTGAGGTTCTTTTATTTTTGTTTGCTGTTTTCTCAGGCCACAACACCATCTACAAGGAAAATGGCACAGTGTGCATACCAACTGCTCTTTTTGTTGCCCAATGGCTAGACCCACATGGGCAATTGCTTTTTTTGAGGTCAGACATCACGTTTAGGATTAAGGTGTGAATTGAGTTAAGGTTGGGGTTTGTCCTTTTTCCATAGTGCTTATTAAGTCTTTGTTCTGTGCACAGAAATAACAGTCACACTCCATTAGATCCCTTTTATTAACTTTTGAGAAGCAAAGACTTTGACAAAAAAAACAATTGTAGGTATTTTATTAGACACACTATAATCCACAAAGGTTCTCCACTGTCTCTGGCTTTTCATTATATGCAACAACATTTCTCCACTTTTAAGAGGAAAACATTAGGAAGCTGTTGATTGGTTTCCATATGGAAAACCTGTCAATTACTGCTCCTTCATTCATTTCCTTAAACTAACTTGCTTTCAGCTGACAACACTGTCGAATCAATATGGTGGGTAAAACACCATGTGAATAGAGAGTCGTGTTGTCGGAAAATTTAGATTTCTCTTCTTTTATATATTAATTTATCCTATTTACTCACTATAAAAGTTTTCACTCAGTCTATTTCACCTTCAAGGCCACACAGTTCTCTGCAGGATGGTGTTTGTAGACCAGACATAGCTTCTTCCCATAACAAACCAAATTCTTTCTCAGGGTTTATTCATAACATGTTACTTGCCATGTTAACCAAAGTGTCTGTATTTTTTTTGACTCTGACTACTTTTGTATTGTTGTAAGTAAGGGGGAACAAACGCTGCTCAGGCAGAAAAGGGCTGAATGCTGTGCCATAAGGGCTGTATGATGAACTGTTCTCTCTTTGCAAAGATATAAATAAATGTGCCGACTGAGTGAAATCCATCAATCTCCGTTTGTTTAACTAGGGTAAATAGTTGAATACTTTTCCCCCACTACAGTCGATACACACTCTCATTGCCTCAAAAAGTTTTGGAGCTTTTCTGCACTAAAAATTTCAGCAATTACCATCTCTCCTGAAACAGCTGGATGTATTAATGCGAAGCTGTTTTTCTGGAGGGGATGCAAACAAAGGAAAGATGCAGCTACCGTGTAACATTTTTAAAGTTGAAATGATCTCTTTTTAAACAAGAGAAAAGCTCTGTTATATCCTGATCAATGCAGAAGTACAGTAGCTTCTGCATGAGTGACTATCCTTTCAGTATGTCTGACATGGAATCACAGCACCTCCATAAGAGTGTTTACAATGTTCCTCTGATTGTTTGATTCAATCAAAAAAATAAAACATTTCACAGATTTTTTTTTTCACAACGGTAAAAGGTTTGTCATGTCTAATTGTAATCTAATTACAATTAAATTTTCCACAGTAGAATATATATTGTATAGTAAGATAGGTTTAAGAGGATTATAGAAAATGTTTTTTTTCTTTTTTAAACCAGACAAGGACATTGTTCTACTTTTTTTAAGCTACAACTGCATTAATAAAATGTGATATCCTCCACAGTAATTTCTTTTTAAATATGTTTTTACCATTATATTTTCCTTAGTTTAACTTTAAGTTACCATAGTTGCCAAAGAATATTTTCCCAGAAAGTATCATTTTAACAGCTGACCTGAACCAGGTGTAGAAGAAAGCATAAATAAACGGATTTAGAGTTGAATTGATCAGTGCAAACCAACCAGCTGATTCTATCACTGGAACCACAACAAAACTGTTAGTAAAAGGTAAAAATGTGAGGGAAAGAAAAAAAGGAGCCCAGCAAAACAGAAACGCGCCCAAGACAATTGCCAGAGTTTTGGTGGCTTTTCTCTCCATCTTACTGACAGTTGCTCCAGAGTTTGTCCTGGTTTGGATGCTCCGTGCCTGTCTCTGTGCAACAACAAATATCTTCAGGTAGATGCAAAGCATTATGACCACTGGAAGGTAAAAGGATATTAAAGGTCCCACAATGTTTGTCATCATAATATCAATAAAACATGCATCCACACATTCTTCTGTGTCCAATCTAGAAATTATTACTACAATTGCAGTAACAACTGAAACACCCCAGCTTACACCGATCATGATGATCACAACATGGAGGCTGATTTTAGATCTATATGCGAGAGGCTGACACACTGCATAATACCTATCAACTGAAATGCAACACAAGTGCAAAATAGAGCATGTGTTGAGCAATACATCAAAGCTGTTTTTTATCTTACAAAACATGTTATTGTCATAAAAACATAAGCTAAAAGTGAATGACATTGTTAATGGAAAAGCAAGAACACCAACCAACAGGTCAGCTACAGCCAGAGACTGAATCAGAGTGTTGGTGCACTGCAAAAACGAGCTAGAAATAAGTACAAATTTCTTAAATTAAGTATATTCACCCTTAATTTGAGTAGGTAAATTAGATAGTTTGCCAATGGAATGAGTATTTTTACCCTTAAAATAAGATAATTAGATAATATGCACTTGAAATAAGAGAATTCAACTGTGTTTTCTTATTTTAAGTCTAAATTGTCTTGTTCCATTGGCAAAATGTATCTTTTTACCTACTCAATTCAAGAACAAATGCACTTATTTTAAGAAAAAATGACTTATCTAGATTTAGATTTTTTTGCAGTGTGGGAGTGTGGAGCTGCTTGAAGTAAAATATAGAAATTATTACAAGGAGGTTTCCACATACTGTGACAAGAGACAAAAGTGTCAGGAAAACATACAATATGACACACACAGCAGGAGTTGTTGATTTGTAACTAAGCAGATTCATCTCAAAACATAGATTAAGTAAGTGAGTTAAAACACCAGTCCCGTTATCCATAAAGATTGAATATAAGATCTATGAAAATAAAACCAATCCCTCTTATAAAATGCATTCACCATGCCAAAAATTATATATACGTTACAACCCCTCCCTGACTTTTCTCTTATATTGCAGATTCACCCTTATACTCTGTCAGAGCAGAAGTGTAAGTGGCTCACAGCCATGTGAGTCTCTGTGAAACCAGTCAGTGTGTCAGTGTTGGTTGCTCTGAGCTAAAACAGTCTTAGAACAAGCTTTTATGGCTCAAGGGCTGGGCGCACAGGAGGCAACGTCACTCCCTCCATTAATTTCCTGTGGGACCTGTGCAATGAAGTAACATTCCCTTCCCTTCCCTGACCAAAATAGTTGGGAAATTTGTTCGTGTGAAAATTTGAGTTTATACAAGTGAAAGTACTCACAAAATATTGTGAAAAGAGGAGAATGGTAAGACCTTGAACTGTATTTGCTGTACTAAGACCAATCAGTGAGAGTATAATTGACATAATAAAATAAAGTGGAGCTCAACAAAAACTACAGTCTGCAACCAGTTTCAAAATGGAAAAACACATAATTTTAGTTGTGTCTGAATTTCCTGGATCCTAAGATTTGTTAAAGTAAGTTCCAGTTAATTTTCTGACTCTTCATCCTTGTTACCTTGACTATCAGAGACTACTATGAAAATAAATAATGAAACTCCTAAACTTTCTTAACTTATCATGTATCTGGAAGTCAAGTGACTTAAAAGAACGATTGGGAAGCGTTGATGCTGTTGTTGTATCCTGTGTGTCAAGACCATAACTCATGAACTTCTTTTTGGATCCCAAAAATGTGAAATCTGAATTCTCAGACTTAGGCTTAAACAACTTTTATTGACATTTTGTATACACAGTGTGTATTTCGGTTTGTTTCATGACATTTTTATTCCTTGCAGCAGTGATCAAATGTAAACTACGGTGGCTGAGAAGTGCAAAACACATTTACAATTCAAAAACACATTAACAAATAAAAAACAAAATAACATTTGAAGAAACAAAATTATATTTTATGAAACAAATGTATTTTTGAAAAAAAAAGTTTAAATTTTTAAAAACAAATTTACATTTTAGGAAACAAATTCACATTTTAAATAAGTTAGATTTTAGGTGATAGAAAGTTTCATTTTAGAGAAAAAAAAATACATTATAGGGAAACAAATTTACATCTAAAAAAAATGTGCAAAGACAAAACTGCAAGTAGCAAAACACAATTACATAGCCAAAAACAAATTAACAAAAGACGGCTACACGGAAAGGGAATGTCCCAGTGGCCGGATGTGACGTCACGATTACCCTGACTTGTAGTACAAACAGCTCAATCTGTAGTCCTCCTGCTTCACGTGAAAAGTCAGGGGCGATTTTAGATGGAAAGAATTGCACTGAAGCTTTTTTTCTTAAGTTTACGCTAACCGAACAATGTTTTCAGCCAATTTACACCGTTTTGTTCTTCGTGCGGACGGTCTCTGGAACTTTTACGGGACACGGACCAGGTGGCAGGACCAAGCAGCAGGGCCGGGCGTATTACTGGCCGGAGCCACTATTATTTTGTCATCTGAATCTGCTGGACCTGCATCAAATGCTGCAAAGCCTCTTCCTTGGGGGCAGCAGTTAGAACAGTCCATGGTGGGGGTGTAGGGGATCATTAATGTTGTTACGGCCTTGGGGCAAGCAGCTCTGGAAAGAAATGTCTTTTATGGAGGGAAGAGGAACCCTGATTATCTTCTCTGCTGTTCTCACAAATCTTGTCACTTTCTTCCAGTCTGTCCTACAGCATGAAAAAGTGTAGATTTAACTTAAACTTTTATATAATTCACAACATGTCATTTTAAGGAACTACAGAGACAGTTTATTAAAATCATAGACAGGTTGGCTAAAAATGATCTCAGAAAATCAAGCTGATATAATACACTGTCTGACTTTGCATAATTTGCTTCCCTTTATGAATATTTGGTAACAGTAGACATTCTGTAGCAATCCTTCACATACTGTTCAGCATGTATGCACCAGAGGAAAGGAATAATACCCTTTTAACAGAAAATACCTCTCAGAGAACAAGGCTCAGTTTGAAGGGACCCCTGTCAAGATGAATGTAAAAATAAATGTGAAAATGTACTCAAATTAAAACAGATCAGTCAAAAAGGTTCTATTGAAGGATCCCAGGTGATTGCAATGAACTCAAAAACCTCTAAAAGTTCTTCTCTCCTCTCATACACAGTGCAACCTAAATGTGATGTGGAGAACACCTTATTAGAGACTCTGGGCAATCTTCACTGGTGTATTTAATTCTAGAGTTTCATGCATTTAGGGGATCTTATAAATAAGTCTTCTAGGCCACTTAGGTGGGAGAATTATTTTATCCCCCACTGTTTAATTTTAGCACCTCTTTGCGAGATAATATGATTCAGGTAGTGTGCATAGTAATAAATGAAGATGCTTGGAGGATTTTTTTAATAACTTGCTAGGTCTATGTCTACTGGGAGACTAGTAAATTAAAGAAATCCAGCATTTAAATTGTACGATGCAGCTGCAAATAAATATTCAGACAGCTGCCTATCAGCTAGAATTCTTATCCTCAAAGACCTGTTAGTCTGCCTTCAAAATGTCTTCCTCCACTCCATTTATTATTCTAAATTAGATGCACCTGTTTGAGATTGTTAGCTGCATAAAGACACCTGTCCACCCCATACCATCAGTAAGAATCCAACTACTAACATGACCAAGTTCAAAGAGCTGTCCAAAGACACTAGAGACAAATTGTACACCTCCACAAGGCTGGAAAGATCTACAGGGAAATTGCCAAGCAGCTTTTTGTAAAAAGATCTGCTGTTTGAGCAATCATTACAAAAAGGAAGAACCAAAACCCAATAGAGAATCTTTGGAAGGAGCTCAAACTACATGTTTCTCATTGACAGCCCAGAAACCTGACTGATCTAGAGAAGATCTATGTAGGAGTGGGCTCAAATCCCTCCTGCATTGTGTGTTAACCTGGTGAAAAACTATAGGAAACGTTTGACCTTTATAATAGCAAACAAAGGTTAGCGTACCCAGTTTGTTACTCTGATTGCCCGATCCTCACTAGTTTCTGCTTCCTGACCTCTGAACCTGCCTGCCCCTGTCCTGATCTGTTTGCCTGACCTGTCTTCAGACTCATATTAGATTCTGTCCGCTTATGAACTTGGGTCTGTCTTCTGACCGCAGCCTGGATTTCCTTACGGTACCTTTTCGAAACTCTGATCTTCTGGCCTGGACTTCTGCTACTTCATAGACACAGGTTATGGCTCATGCTGTGGAAAATCATCCAGCTGGATTTCACTCCTTCCTCTGGGCTTGAACTTAACGTTATAACTGGGTTAGTGACTCACACGCTTATTATTGTCCTCTTTCAGAGTTAAGTAGTTATTAATCTGTGTTTTCACTGCTACAGAAGCCATTTCCACCATTAATCCTACCTGCTGACTGGCAGACTTTCCAAGCAGTCAGTAAATGCTTTTATAAATCATTTCTCTCTGCTTCCCTCTTGGACTACCTTAAAAAAAAGTAATGAAACCTCATGCTACATGCATGCTTGGTGTCAGGGATTGATTTCGAGTCAATAAGTCGATGCAATCAGCTGGTTTTCCTTAGAAAACTTTGAAGCAATCTGACTATATGATTTAGCTTTTTTTGTATCTCTAGAGTGCCTGAGATGACCCGTGAGTGAATTGGCCCTAAATAAATAAATCAAATGGATTTGAATAATTACATAATATTCCACTCAGATAGACTCCAAATGCTGTTATGCATCAGGAGGGCTGTTTAACACATACACAGTTCACAAGTCAGATTATTATTTTTTTTTTTATTTATACTGTCATTGTCAATACTATTATCATGGAGTTCAGCAAAGAATTAATAGGGACATACCCTCTAAAATGTAGCTCTTTATCTATCCAGCAGGTGCCGCCATTCAAAACTATGAAATGTATCGAGCATGGTACTGAGTTTTGGCCAATTGTTTCAAATTTGTTCACTGGCTCATGCCAGTGCCATCACTACTGGAGAGTTTGATAGGGAAGAAGGAAATAGGCTGGAGTCCAAAAATAAGCTAAGTCAATCATAAGAGATCAGACAAACAGACAGCTTTATATAGAGCAGCACCATGGAGCAGCAGAGCCAGAAATTGGAGCAGTCACAAGCACTGACAATTGGGAGATAATCGCAGAGGCACCATTATACTGTATTTCAGCATTCAATGTCCAAGAAAAATTGCATTTTTGGTTAGCATTAAATATGTGTCTACATGGAATTAAACAGGCAACAGAAGGGAGCAGGTGAACATAAAGTATAATTATAGTTAAATCAGCTAAGATCCAATTCAAAGCTATTTGGTGGGTGGTTTTGTTTGTATCTATGTTCAGGTGAATATAGTTAGTTTGTAAATTGGTGTTTGGTTTGGTTTGATGTAAAGCTATGTGTTGGGATCTGGAGAAGTTCCACCTTTCTCCAGCAGAGTGCGCCGTGGATCCTCCTGAGCTGAGCCTTCAATACACCTGAGGCGCATCTCATCATTAGAGGATCCTTCAGTATATAACCTGCCTTCAGACCTTGCCTCGACGCCGCAGTGTTTATCCAGTTTGGTTAGCACCTGAGCCTAGCATCTCCTGAGAATCTTTGTTGTCTCTGATCAGATTGGATCCTAATCCCTCCTTGTCTCTGCTTTCAGGAATCCTGTTTCCCTTGTAAGCTCTGGATGAGCTTGACCTGCCGAGCCTGCCCTCTGAGCCAAACCTGAAGACTCTTCTCTGGATTCCCATGCAGCTCTGGATTAATAGCTGGAAATCAAAGACCAAGGTCTGCCCTCAAGTTAGAAGTAAGACGCTGAAGCGGTTATTGGACTCTGCTGAACTAAACAGTCTCTGGACCCAACAGTTCCTCTCTCAAAGCCAAACCCGGACTTCTCAAGGTATCAATCAGAAACTATCAAACTCAAACTCTTCTGCTCCCAAGCTAACTGAACTATCATCCTCACAGACTCCAGTGAACCTGCCCCCAGGCCTGAACCAGTTCCTGTGTTTATCCCATGTGCTTGTACTCAATAAACATTGTTAAACTTTTCATCTGTTTCCGTGGTGTTCTGCATATTGGGCTTTTCTGAAACCCATCATGACACTATGGGGCCAAAATTGTTGCTTT